GGAGAAAAATTATAATGAGACAAAATAATCACAGCAGCAGGTGACTGTGCTGGATCTCACTGAAAAAAGCTGAACCGACAAATCGAACTGTATGTAGAGATGTATGTAGACAATACTGACAGCAGCAACATGACACAGACAAAAAGAGTACATGTAGCATATTTTTATTTATGGTGCAATGTTGCAGAGTGCAAAGATGTTGAAAAAAAGTATGCAAAAAATAAGTAGTTACTATATAGAGAGTATATACATGAGGATTACAGTGCCCTGTAGCGCTCTGTTGGACTGCTTTGATGTTAGTGTCTATATTGGATGATTGGACGCTGCTGAGTAAGGTGAGCAGGGATAATGGAGATGGGCTCCTCCTGAAGTCTGCTGTCATCTGTACTGTTTTGCACATATTCTGTTATTCTTGTTTGCGGAATGACAATCCCAGTACCTTCAGCAAATGTTTATGACTTCTCTGCAAGTCTTTTAAGATACAGCACAATGTTTTTATTTTTAACTGGCTGTGTTCATCATCTGTGTGGTTTGGTCAAAGAAATTTGAGAATTTATGTTCATAAAAGTAAGAAGGGTTTCAAGAAATATCTGCATCAGCCTAAAAATGTTTGAAAACACAGCTCACAGGAGTAAATATATTTGCTTGCTTTATTTCTGAAATTTTAGAAAAAAAATCTACTCAAGTGTTTTAAGAGGAGGAAGACTCAGCTTTTATTAAACCAACAACAATTAATACCATTAATACCCGTTTGTGATCAGGTGGGGCCCTCCAGTGGAAATGAAACAAACTGCAAGTACTGGACTGCTGGAGCTTGTGTGATCACTCTGCTGACAGGAGGCTGCGACAGACCGTTGCAGTGCTTTTGTTTATTCAGTCGGGAAACAGTGATCGAACGTGTCATCCATGACACCAGGATCAGTCACACGTCCTCTGTGAAATAGAAGTTTTAGTCCTTTTCTTGTTGAGAGATCTTTACATCTCTGATAATCAGAGAAAATTATCAGATCAAGGCAGAAGCACTCAAAAGTAAAATACCAACGTACGTAGTGAATACAGCTCCTGTTGTTAAGCAAGTACAACAGATCACGTTTAACAAC